AGAAGACCTTTTATAGGTGTTTATGTTTTTATATTTTATATTAATCATACTGAGTTTATGTGTAATAAAATGTAGAATGTAAATAAAAGTGCTATTGCCAGTCCCCATTACTCAGTCGGTGCTTGTGTTGCAGCTACAATAAATCAAAGACGTGGTGTGTTACAGTAACTCTTTCAGTGCTATGTCACTCTTTAATATGAGCTAATGTATTCCTTGAGGTGGTCTTTCAGTCCAGCGTATGCAGATCCATGTTAGATATTACAAGCACAGGTACTTTGTTGTTAGAACAGAGGTAGCTCTGAGTGTAGCTGTACCTCTTTGTTCCTCGGTTTGACGCTGGTAGGGATACTAGGCCAAATGGTAATATGCTGCCTCCTAAAATTCTACTATCCAATCAATAATATGATGTGGGGTCCTCTGTCACTTGAAGATGAATCAATAACGGAATTGGCTGAGGACCTTTTGAAGAACAACAGCTCTACGACTTCATTTTCTCCTGTCAATTCACGGCAACTCTGATTGATTGCACAGGGATGAGCATTTGGAGGGAGCCTGTAGTTACATTATACCCCTCATTGCAGCTACAGTGCCATCTCTAATGCTGCTGCTGCTTAAAGCACTCTATGTATCTCAAATTGCCCTAACTTAAAGGTGGTTAAAGATTTCACATTAAAAAAAAGAAAAACACATAGTGCTCAAGATCTTGTGGTAAATTGCCCAGGTATACAATTCAATTCAATTCAATTCAATTTTATTTATATAGCGCCAAATCACAACAAATGTCGCCTCAAGGCAAAGAAGAGGGTAATTTTTGGTGCTTTCACCTTAATTTCTGTTGACTATTGTGCCTTTCCAAAGGTGATGCACCTCACTCTTGCTGAATATGCACAGCTTGCAAGTCCGTGAAATACTCTTGTTGTGGGAGCACAGTGAAGAACAGCTTAATACATTTGATTAACAGACCAGAGAAGAATATCCCTTTATAGGCTCCCTCTTCTCTCATATGTGCTCCATTTGCTCCCTATCTTCACTTTTTTTGTTTGCCCGTGTCTATTCTGTTGATGCAGATGAAGTCGACATTCTGCTGCATTGTACCCATTTTAGCGATTTGTTGGCAATTATGCAGATTTTCTGTCACTTGAGTATTTATATTTGCATACGAAACAAGGTGCATGTGTCTTGTAATTAGGACAAGATAGTTTTTGAGTTGTTTGCGGTGCGGCGTAAGTGTCAAATATTTCTCCTTCCGCAGCATGTCTGTCATTTCCACGTTTGGCTCGGGCAGACAGATAGACAGCGAGCGATTATTTGATGGTGACAAGTTCAATGTGGAGCACTCAGCACCCTGGGAGAGGGTGACATTTCTGCTGTCCAAAAGGACATGCTAAGTGAGCCATGTATCAGTGAGGCGGCATTTACGCCTCATTGGGACAGCTTGTCACTAATCGATGCAACAGCCACGCAACATAAATCTCGCTTGTTGTTTTTATGCTCGCTGATTGTTGTTGGGGGGCTTATTTTTGTACCACCCATATAAACGGACCACTGCGTAAGTCATTTTTATGCCTCCATGTCGGTGACAGCTGTAGCCTAAGGCATTATGTTTTCTCAATGCCCCCCCATCCCCCCCCCCCCCAAATCCAGCCAGCCATCACCATGAATATGATACATTATTGTGCTTAAAGGTCATGGTCACCGTGACCCTCATGGCCCTTCTCTTCTTGTGAATATGATGATCTTGTCAATGTCAACTCAAGGATGAGCTAAAAAAAAAAAA